TAAAACATTTTTAAACAGTTGGACAATAATACATAATATGTAGCTAATAAAAATATAATTGGATTTTTATACTCGACCCAAACCAGCTCAATTCCGGACTAACACATGGTTCAATTTCATTTAAATAATACGCTTGCGCGGATGACTCTTTAGCTGTGGGAAGAAACCGGAGGAACCGGTGAAAATCCTCGAGCTTGGACAGGTGACCCTACTCCTTTCACGTACAACACCACTGTGTGTCATAAAGAGTGGTAGCTACCGCTCCCATTAAACAAAAAGGCTGTTCGCCATAATGGCGAAGCAGCAACCAATCTGATAAGACGTTAGTTTTTAAAAGATCATATAAATCTTTGTCAATTTTACTTATATTGTGGTGTTTATTAACATGCAGGGAGAGAGAAAAATTGGGTTTAACGTCCACCCGACAAAATCCAGGTCATTTCTGGACTAACAGTAATATGGTTTAAGTTTATTTCAATAATTCGCTTGTGCGTAAGCCTTTAGCAGTGGGAGCAAACCGGAGGACCCGGGAAAAACCCACGAGGTTGGACAGGCGACCCTACACCTTGTCACGTACAAGCGGGGTACAGAAACCACGCCACTTGGCTCAGTGACAGACCTTCTGATCCGAAGCACATGCGTTTACCAACATGCGTACAATACAAAAAAACTATGTGAATTAGTAGCGTAGTTAGAGTTTGCTTATCCACTAACCCAAACACGAAAACTACAACCCAATACACATCAAATAAACTATTAAACAAAAAAACCCAGTATTTTCGTGGAAGAATAAACTTGGGTCATGCGTTTTGTACCCTTCTGGTCCCTGCAGAAAAACAATGATTTTTCGCAGCAGTACACCGTAAGATTGGCCATTCATTGTGAGCGACATTAGAATATATTCCTTGCATTTGGAGCACAGAAAACTACTATTTTTCACAGCAGTTCTCCACAAGATTGGCCATTTATTTGGAGCACAGAAAAACAAAGAGGGTGGTTCTACTTGTACCACTGTAAATAACTGTGATTAATTTAGCCACTTACCAACAACTAAAATAGCCTTTTGTCCATGCATCTCCTCAAATAATTACATTCAACTAGTAATAAATCCAATAAATTATCTTTATAAATACTTCACTGATATCTTCGAGTGTCAAACACCATGACATAGATAGTGTTTTTATCTCGAAACTTTTCAATACATCAAGGCGATAATCCGTATAATTGGAAATGTGTCGGGTCTGAACCGACCAGATGGAAATCACTTCTTATGGGGTTATCCGGAACAGATCTTATGGGTTTTTAAAAGAAAAAAATACCTTTGAATGTGGTAATTTATTGAGTGTATTTTTAGTGAATTTTGTGTGGTAAATTCGGACAGGTAGTGGGGAAACCATTTTATTATTGCCATAAAGCTGATCGATTTTACAGAAACAGTTCCAGAGTTCAAAGAATGTCCATTCGTAAAGGGGAGCTTAAGTATACAAATTAATCGCTTAAATGGTAAGACTTGCTTAACTGTGTTACCTAACCTTAAACATACATCATGCAAGAGCTAAATCTGCCTGTTGTAGGTCTTTATTTAAGCCAGAAATGTTACCTAAATCATTAATTAGACATTTATTAACATAACAAGACCATAATCAACTCTCGATGCCATCTGTAGCACCAAGTACAAAGCCACAAAACTCCCCACATCTTGGACGTGTGACGCACACCCTCTCCTCTGCTTCACATTTTATTAGCCTTGTGATCGTCTAGTATTGTCTCTGGTTATATTTGTAATTCTTTACTTTAGGACTCCGCGTTAAACTCTGTGAATTTATTCTCCGCTTATTCAGTTTATGGTTACACACAGAAATAACAATGCAACAGTTCGTTTCTAATTTAATGTCAAGCACTGGATATATAGGTTACAAGCATAGATTCAAACGTCATTCTCTCTCAACCCCACCATTTCGTAGAACGAGTTTACCGACGGGTCCCACTACATCATATGGCGTCCTACGACTTAAAGGGGCGTTCTGAAACCAGATGGTGTCTTTTCAACCAAACAGTCTCTCCCAACGAACCTACATAGTATTTGCTCTCTTCTGAAATCAATTATATAATGGTTCCTCATGCCCAATGACGTTAAGTATTAGCCAAATATAGAATGGACATGCCTCACACCTTGCATACCAACAGGGATTATTGATTAATTTAGTCAAGAGGTACGTTCCATTCCTGACCATGGATAAATGTGTCTATTGACCTTTAGTTCAATTCATGTATCATAATATCACAGATTTCCGTTGTTTTGCATGCTGTTTTGATTTTCTATGAATCTTTAACAAAAATTATTCAAGGCCATAATGTTATACATATGTGTTATTTTGCACAAATCTCGCCATCCATCAATATTATTATACATCTTATGTGTCAGATTTTCATTAGATTTGAATCTGATCTGCTGTTCAACGCCCATTTGTGATTCACCGCAAAAATGGATAATCGAGACTGTCTTTATTATCGTTACTGTGGTAACAATGACAATCGAGGCTACAGTGTTTTTAAAAAGAGGCTTTCTTGGCTCCGAGTGAAGTAATTTGACGGAAATTTTCAGCATATTCCCTTTACATTATCTATTTCTGAACTATTGTAGTGGGAACTGACAACAGTTTATCTAATCTCTCATAATGTATATTTAAGGAACTGCACCGTTCAATGGTATAAACATGGTTTGATAATCGCGACGATCACCTAATTACAAACATAACTTTGGCAGGTATGGAGTCTTTGAAGGAGTAAACATAAAACCCTATTGGTTTGTAGATAACATCGACTTGAGACATTAAAACTAATACTATACTATTCACTGTTTTATATTTTGACTAGGATTAATTACCCCTTATACTTGGTGACTTCAAATCAATCTATATATATGGCAAATCGCATTGAGGATTGAGTAAACAACTATAGCCACAATGATTTTAGTTGTATGTTTATGTAGTATCGGATGTAAAGCTCAGCCACTTTTAAAAACATAACAACATAAAATACATAAATACATCCGTTGTCAAGGTAAGTTAATAGCGTTTATTCGGTTCCAGAGTAGCCGAGAGGGGGTCTGGAAGAACTGTTCAACTCTATGCGTCGTTTATTCTGAGTAATAAATTTGGAATATAGAACATTTGGTAATTGCGTCATTACTACAAGCTCAATGATAACATTACAATAACACTAGTAGGTGAAACACACTTGTTTGTCAAACTGTTGAAAAGACCTTTTGGGCGAAATGCCCAACTTTCTGCATTTTCATAATTTTAAAGTATTATAACATTTATTAACATGCACGGGGAGAGACATGGGGTTTACCGGCCACTCGACATAAACTAGGTCATTTCCGGAGAAAATCCGCGAGGTTGGCAGCGACCTCACTACTTGTCACGTACAAACGGGGATTGGAAACCACACCCTTGTCTCAATGACAGACTTTGTGATCAAACGCGCACACGTTAACCATTCGGCCACCCAACCCCCGAATTTAGGTATTACGCGGTGTTGTAATATAATGTATTCGGGTATCCATCTCATGATACCTTATCTTCTATTTTGATTAAAAATGCAATCTGTTCAATTTTTCGAATCCTCCCTTGTATTTCTAGATCATTCGAGTATATTAATCCTTTTCCGTTACTGAAGTCTACTCTAATCCATAAGGTTTTTGCCACTGACTTACTCCCCCCTTGTTACAAAAGCTAGAATCACCACTAGTCGATAAAGTATTTTAAGATAGCTGGGATTTGTTTTAGAATATAAAGTGAAATGCTTCCATTATTGTTCTTAGACTTTACAAACAACATGACTCTGTATATTTAACGAAATCAAATAATTAAAGGAACATTACCTCCTGGCATGAAAAAAAGATGAATCTGCGTTAAAAATAGCATGGACGAGATTTCAAAGTCGGGCGGAAAAAGTGACGAGAAATTTCAAGTCCTACTACAAATTGTCAGGAATAAGACCCATGAGGTACTATGATGTGTCTTAGTCTCTACTAGGATGGTCTTTAGTTTTTAATCCAACGACTGTTGAAACTTACAGGAGCGAAAGCAAATATGATAAGGGTCGACAAAAGTATGTACACATAACATAGATTGACTCGGCTTTTTCCACACATGTAAGTCGGAATATTTTTCATCACGGGCGATTCTGGTTTCTGTCTAATCCTTTGCTTTATTTACTCCCCAGGGTAGTATAACGGAATCATGGCTATATGTTTTTATATATATGGGAAATACTTTTTTTTACAATTTGAAGAATTCAAATATTTTGAAATGAACAGAAAATGCTGCATCCTCAAGTCACCAATTAATGTTAATCAAGTTTGCGATCTTGTGATTCCACTGATAATTTTGAATCATTTACAAAACTCAAAACTAACTGATAAATTGTCAAAGAGTGTCTTCGACTTCAAAAAGGAGATTACCGATGCCATTGACTAGCGGCTGTACGACCACATCGGCAAAAGTCGTTGTGCCCAGGGGGGATGATTTCCGTAATTTGCATTCATGACACACGAGATTACAAGTCTGAATGATAGAGTTGAAGGCTTTGTCCGGCTATAATGCCTGTTTGTCATGCCATTCAAATGACCACCCTCGCAACACAATTAAGACCTATAATGTAGCTGTATACTTGTAGTTTACACATTATATATGTTTGGTGGTATTATTACTTTAAAAAATCGATCTTATCAGCAACAGCAAAGGAAATCAACTCAGTATTGGTTGGGCAGAACTACAACTCAGGTAGCTTTGAGAAGCTTTTTACTTCTGCTGACTACCTTAACACTAGACAGAAATCATTCAGTATTGGTTGGGAAGCTACTGCAACAATGATGACTTTAAGAAGTGTTCTTGTCCTGGCTACATTAATAATTCAGTTAACAGAAGCAACCGAATATATTTATGAGAGTTCTTGCGCTTTCACCACACAAGAAAATTCCCATACTGAAAAGGATGTTGGGTGGCTTATGGACTGCGCCCGAATCTGTTCGCGAGTTAACGAGTGTAGCGCTATATTCTTTGACGATGAGAAGAAAACATGTCAAGTGTTTATAGACCCCGTGAACCCTACCTGCACGTCAATCCAAGCTAAAAACAGCAATAGATATTTTCAGAGACAGGTAAGGAATTTTTATTATTGGTCGTTATATTTAATATTTTTTCAACATCGAGCGTGTTGTCCGGTTTTCCTTTTTTTTATTGAGCAAGCTAGCCCGTTACACAGGTAATGGAATAGTGTTAACGCCTCGTCAACACACTACATTTGAAATTTTGGGACTGATTTATATGGCCACGTTTCCAGTTGAAGAAAGGGGAATGATGTCCGGATAGCCTAGACTCTATAGTGAATATTATTCACGTGTATGCCAATATCTCAACAATGCATGCGTAATGTATTAAGTCTCGTTAAATGATCACTGTGGTGCATAAGGTCATGGTGCACAAGCAGGGTGGTTTAGGTCGGCTGATGAATGCGGAGTTATGATGAATGTTAGTAAACAACTTTCGCATTGAATTAACCTGTTTAATTCCTAGAGCGGCTCATTTAAGCGCACCCAAAAAGTAGTCCAGAACAAATTGAACTTCGACCGAGTTATTTAATATAACTTAGTTAATTTGTCTATCGCTTAAAACATTTAAAATTTACATTCACGATGGCTATATAAGTGAGTAAGACGCTGGCTTGCTTGCCTGTGGGTCGCGGCGTTGACTGAGAAAGTTCATCAAGATTTTCCGACGTGGTTCCCCTTGTTCATGGGGCAGCTGTCTAGTTGTTCAGATGGGATGAAAAACAGAGTTACCGTGTATCACATTGGCTTGCACGTAAAAAGATCCCTTGGAAGTTGGAATTCGATATGACATTAGGCCGTTAGTGTCGCGTTCCGTGCAACATTTCCCTCATAGCACACTGTATGGTGTGGGTCTGTTTTCATTAGCCCAGTCCGGAACAGTAGGACGATAGGCCCCATTTCATTTCATTTCTCAATCACGTAAATGATTTAAAATTTTAATCTTCAGAACACAGAAAACGAATGTCTGTATGGCGGAAATAAAACTGTGGACGGTGAATGTTTTTGTGTTGATGGTTATGTTGGCGATAAATGTCAGCGTCTAATGAGGGGTAGGTAAAATATATCTCCATGGACGATTTCCGGTAATTGAAATGGTAATGCTATTGCACAATAATGTAATGGTTTTCCGATGAAAAGAAAGACATATTTCTTGTACCTGAAATTAAATATCAAGTATTTTTTAATTTCTCCAGAAACCAGGACATGCTTAATCCTTTTTGGAATATCTTATTTCATTTTTACAAGTCTATTAAGAGAGTGGATTTTATTATTCTTGTAGATTGTTCTGAGGGATTTGCCTCCGGATTTTACGACCGAGCGCACACTGATTTCATGATACAGCCAACTTCATCGGCACCCTTTAGCGTTCATTGTTACATGGTGGATGGTGGACTCACGTTCATACAGAAGAATTCTATTTGGGTGGATGGACCTTTGGTATCATTTAACAGGTCATGGCAAGAATATGTCGATGGTTTCGGTGATCTGGAGAAAGGACACTGGATCGGCTTGAAACACATTTATGAGATTACCACTGGGCGCCCACAAGATCTTCACATTATACTATTCGCCGAGCCGAGTTGGTCAAATGCTTCTATTGTTTACGAGAACTTCCAGGTTCAGAGTAACTACCAATTTACATTTACCAACACCAGATTTGATACCCAATGGCATCTTGGAGATTGTCTTTCGTCTCTGAGAAACACTGATTTTAGTACAGTGGACAAATACAAAGATGACATCACCACTGAAAATTGTGTTGAACAGCAGAATTCGGGCTGGTGGTTTAACCCTGACTGCTCTGGATGCAACCCAAATGGAAACATTAGCGGCGTTAGATCTAATACTGGAGCTTTTTGGTCGGGATACTATGCCAGTGAAACGGTAATTTACACTTCGTTGACTCTGGTTGCTAGATAAACAATGTGGAAGTTGAAACAGAGATATACTTTATACACAAATGTCGCTCTGACAATTACTGAAATTAAAACTGTGACATGTTTATTTTGTATATATTCGAAGTCATTTTCTTTCGGTTCATTAATATGGTCACTGCACTATTATCTAACGATAAGTTTAAAGGTGAAATCCAAGTATTGTCACTTTATTATATTTTATTCATTGTCTAATATTTAACAAATTTCAAAAATGCACAAGCCAAAAAGAAATCATTCTAACCGATTCCATAAACTGGTGTACAATAAAATAATGCAATTGTAATTATTTGATGCACATGGTATGTCTGTTTAAAATTGTATGTGGGACAGCTTGATTGAATAATGGAATTATTTCTCTTGCATTTTAATTTTTTAATATCTCTATTTATGATAAAACAAAATCAGTAAGCATTTTTATGTAGGCACATTTCAAAACCAGGTATTTTTTTTTGTTAGGTAAAACAATCAATGCCCCTATATTAAGATAATAGAACAAACAATATCTTCTGGCAAATTTATTGCGTCACCCCACTCACTCTCCCACCACCACTTCCATGGAGGGCAAAGTAAGTTTTATTATTGCAAATTATTGCAAATGGGGGGGGGGTGGATGGCCGAATGGTTAGCACGTGCGCGCTGTATTATAAGGCCTATCATTGAGTCAACTGGCGTGGTTCCGTATCCACGGTTGTACGTGACAAGGAGTAGGGTCGCATGTCCAACCTCGTGGGTTTTCTCTGGGTCCTCCGGTTTCCTCCCACTGCTAAAGACCCCTACGCGCAAGCGAATTTTTGAAATAAAATTAAACCATATGTTAGTCCCGAAATGACCTAGTTTGTTTCGAGTAGGCTTTAAACCCCATTTCTCTCTCTCTCTCTCTCTCTCTCTCTCTCTCTCTCTCTCTCTCTCTCTCTCTCTCGCAAATTTAAATACGCTAGTTAATTATATGTTAATTACATTTGATGAGTTGATAATCTTATAAATGTCGGTGCAATTTGTGAATGTGTTTATTCTCTCTCTCCACATTTTATTAACCTTGTGGTCATCTAGTATATATCTAGTTATATTTGTAATTCCACCCCCTAATTCGCAGATCGAGTTTACTGACGGAACGACTACATCATATGGCTCTCCTACGAGTCCAGATGGTGTGTCTTGAACCTCAACGCCAACTTCATGTATCTACATGGTATCTCCTCTCTCAATGCATGTCTGTATCTACACGGTATCTCCTCGCTCAATGCATGGTTGCTGAGACCACATTATTACATTGTTCCCGGAATACCGGCAGACTTTTATACCATATTTTGCCGCTAATCCAGAGTTAATCCGAGAATAATGGTTTTATAAACTATAGTCCATTTTATTGATTGTAACAAATATAGCTTTTATTAAAAACATTAAATAATTTACACACAAAAAATGCGTTAGATTTATAGGGTAAAATACAATAATTTTCACATTATAGCATTCTACAGCACAACTAAATAGGATATATTTGTTCCAAACTGATTTTAAAACAGTTTTTAAATGTGATTTTAAAACAGTTTTTAAATGTGACTTTAAAACACTTAAAGGTCCCATTTAGTAACTGTTTCAAATGGTCAGTTCTTGAATCAACCTGTCGATATTTCTTTACTCGAGGCCTTTTGGTACCACCGAAAAATATCTGAAAGATGGTGATTTCGACAAAGGGTTGTTCTTGTTTGATCAAGTTGATGATGAGGATTACATGCTGACAAGTTGATATTGGGATTGCGTGCTGTCAGTTTGTTTAACTTAGAATGTTAACTTTTTATGTGGTTGGTAGTTAGTACCGGGGCCCTGTTGTGTTAAATCTGTGTGACAAATTTAAAACAGAGTATTGATTTATGATTAATTAACGGTTTAACATTCTGTCGGCATTACGGGAGCAAACCATCATCTGGTACCACTTTCATTTTGGTCATTTTCTTATGTGGCGAGTTGTCTTGCAGTTGTTCTATTTGACCGAATTTGGTTTCTCACATTGAGAATGTTGACGTGATATATACCATTCTTCATGACTGATTTAACTATATGCAAGTGTTTGATATTTTCTTCAAACAAACAACACTGTTGGAACCAGAGTCACAGACCATAACAATGTACGAAATGAAAAGAAATGGGGTTTAACGTCCTACTGTTCTGTCCCGACTGGGCTAATAAAGACGTAAATTTGTCGAATTCCAATTGCCATGGAATCTTTTACGTGCACGCCAATGCGTACGAGGGACTTCGGCTTTGGTTGTCCCTTGTCAGGCCCTCATAGTATTTTTAAGGTCGCTATTATTATCAAAATATTTGTGTCGTCCAGCATATGGACACAGACTAGCAATTATTTGTCCATTGAATGGCTGTAACATCGCAAACTGTAGCTTTTTGCTCAGCATTCCATTGGTTCCAATATTTATAGACACATAGGGGACCGCATTTAGCAATCTCGTCATCATAATTTTGTAGGGGGTTGGCCGTTTATACTCTTTGCTACGAGGAATTGATGTTGACTGGGGTCAAAATCTTACCTCCGCTATAATATCATTGGTATTTCCCAAAACTGCTATGAAATTGCAAATTTGATCCCATTCCTCCAATTCTAGACCAACCAAAAAATGCAGGAAGAAGGGGAGAAAACTAATTAAGGGAAAAATTGTCTATTTATAACTCGCACTACATTCATGAAATCAGGGGAAATAATTACTAGTTAGTCCTATTATATGGCCACAGATCACTAATGGTTTCCACATTGATCTTAATATTCTCGTCTCGTGGATTTAGTCCCGAAATGACCTAGCTTGTGTCGAGTGGAAGTTAAACCCCATCTCTCTCTCTCTCTCTCTCTCTCTCTCTCTCTCTCGTCTCGTGGATCGCCTTTAACTTTTTCCCAAATTTTCCTTGGGTTCAACATTTTCTACCATAGATGGAGCAACATGTGACAACCTCTTTATCAAAAGCACGTATGAAGTTCACCCTGGAAAACTTGAGACACATAAACTGGAAGTAAAGACCAAAAAACATGCAATTATCCGCCCTAACCAACCTGGCAGAAAGTCTATTTTCAAACCCTTTTCTTTGACTCTACATCAAAAGTTCGATCCCTGCATTGGCCGAGAAAGTTCACCCAGATTTTCCGGCGTGGTTCGCCTTGTCAGTGATACAGGACGGAATGCCTGACAAGGACAGGTGTCTAGTCGTTCGGATGGGACGAAAAATCGAGGTCCAGTGTACACATAGGCGTGCCGCTGTCCGGGCAAAATTCCCACATAGCACAATGTATGGCGTATGCCCGTCTTCATTAGCCCAGTTAGGGACAGAACAGTAGGACGTTAAATTTCATTTCATTTCTTTGAAATTGCCAATTACTTTCCACTTGTTACATAGCCAGACTGGCAAGAAATACATTTAGAAAGTTTGGACAATATGCAAACAGAAATGTTGCAAACCATTTGCATTGATTATAATATTAGAGATCTATACTGAAACGTGTATCCCTACCCCCAAACTTGTGACTGACTAAATCAAGTTGCAGAACTAACATTACTAAAGCAATCTGTCTAACAGCTATGTTTTACCAATCCTGGCTAAAATATGTGCAATAAAAATGAATTATGGTTTAAAAAACCATAATGCAAATATGCCATATTTGGTCTATGATCACCCCTCTCTAACAAATGGATCACAGAATACACATTGTTCTCAAATTTAGCAATCTCAGACCTTTACATCAATTTCCTGGAACAAAAACAAAGTCAAAATATTATTTATGACAGAGTTGACAACATAAAAGAGGCCTGAAAGGGAGCAAAATTAACATTATATTGTTCTATGAGTAACATAAATGCAACAAACACCATAAATCCTAGATTTTGATAAGAAAATATTGAACATGAAACTGACATTTACACATCTACACCAGTTTTATTTTAGGGTGTGGTCTCATTGGCCAGAAATGCCGCACCATTCAAAGTTTGACTCGAAACAAAAAGAGTTAGAAATCCTTGAAATGTGTGCAAAATCACTATTTATTGTGAAAAATATCATTCATAGCTGTATTTCAGCTACAAATTCCAATTACTATCATTTAAATGTCAACACAGGTGCAATTAAATTTCTCAAAACACATTTTTAGAAAAGGGTGGGTGGGGCGTGTATAGATAAATGGAATGGCGGAGTGAACAATGTCCATGAATATTTCTTTCTACATGAAGGTAATGCAAGAATGTAATGTTTCAAAGATGAAAAAAATGCTTCTCCTAGATAAAATAGTGGCAAAATTGAGCCAACTCCTGACAAACTTAATAGATCCCATAAAGTCATATTCGCAATGAAAATAAAGGCATTTTTAGACATTTTAACTCATTTGCGTAGTCATGAAAGGATTAATTTCTACATCGAAATGGGGGAATCTGGATATTTTCTGTGAATATTCCTGATTTGCAGACACAAAATTTTGTGAAATTACAATACTGTTCTTTCTGAGGCTCAATAAGCCAAAATTGGA